CTCACATTCTGTTGCTCTGGCCAGCAGATAATGTTACCATGGGAAGGAGAGCAAGCCAATGCTCCATTAAAACAGCCCTCTTGACCATGGTAGTATTCAGGGTACTGGATTTGTCCCTAGAACATCTAATTGTTGACCCCAGAAAGCCTCCTGAGTTCATTTATGTCCAACACAAAGTAAAACCAGGCAGAACACTCTTGTGGAGGGCTGGCATTAATGGAATTCTCTTGCTCGGGATACATTTTTTGTTAGAACTACAAGCTATGTTAGACTCTGGGCTGCCGCTAAAATGGCAGCCCTGTGTTGGCTTTTCCTGCAATGTTTAGCCATGCTTGCCCCTGTCTACATCTCAGTCTCGGCCAACGAGGCAGAGCAGTGGCAAAGACGTGTCTCAACATAAGTGGCAAGAGGGAAAAGGGCTTGGCAGAGGGCTGCTGGTTTGGGCAGCGGCTCCATTTCAGAGCACAATGTTCTATTTTGTCCTTGGGGGTGAGTTTACTTAGTCAATGAATGTGTACATGTTGCATTGAACAGTTCAGTGCATGGTCCACAGCACTCCTCCAATTATCCTGAAATGTCTTCTGAAGGATCTGCTGAGGTACAGTCTAGATATAAACTGAACCGTTCATACACAAAGCCACATTGGAGTTGACATCAGGATGTGACCAGCAGACTTCAAGCAAACCTAGTCTTAGGCAAAGTACACTTGAAATACATTTCTTGTGCACACAGACTTCACACACCACACTCTTGTACACTACTGCATGCATGTATGGTCTGCAGTGCACAGCTAGAGTTGGCCATCTCGCTGTTCTAAAGCAACAAAATAATGGCACGTTGCTCACCTATAGGAGTCACCACATTTACTTTGGGGTGGAGCCCAAACTTTTAGCCCCACCCTGGCATTGTGTCTTTCCCCTGAAACACCTGCACGTTGTGCACCATTTCTTGTAGAGAAACCCCAACATGGGAGCTTGGCTTGGTTGTGCAAGTGCCTCTACATATGAACAGGAGTCAGGAGTTTGCATGTTTGGGTTTCACCACAGGCAGCCATATGCATGATGTCAGGGCTAAAAAGCCTGTCTCTGCTACGAAGCACATTTGGTAACGTGCTGCACATGAATAACTCATGAATAGGACTTATACATACAGCAATGTACCCCTCAAAGTTAGCGTCTAACAAGATGACCATTTTTGGAGCTGCAGATTTCATACTGAAAGCTAAGGCAGCAGCAAAAGAGAAGAAGAAGAAGAAGAAGAAGAAGAAGAAGAAGAAGAAGAAGAAGAAGAAGAAGAATTAAGAGTTCTCCCCCACCCTAGCTTCCCAACTAAAAACTGAAATCACATTGGGCAAAATGCTAGTCATGAGAGATCCTATCCTCCACCCAAGAGATGGCAAACTTAGCTGTTTATACAATAAACATACTTGCACAGGCAGCACACACACTCACAATATATTCTCCTAGGTATGCACACTTAGGAACACAAAAACATGGTTAAGCATGGATAATATTACTTATGCATTCACACACACATTAAGTGATAGCCAGCATTCGTCATCATCAGAATGGCTCCATTGATTTCAGTGGATCTATTTTGGACATGACCAATGTTGGATGTTGCCCATTATTTCTTGCCTGAGAGTTCCAGGTACAACTCTCAAAGGTACCCTTCTGAATAAGTGTGCATGCACACGAAAGCTCATACCAATAACAAACTTAGTTGGTCTCTAAGGTGCTACTGGAAGGAATTTTTTATTTTGTTTCAGGTACCCTTTCAGTTAGACTGACCACATTCAGTTAAAATGGCCAAGGCCATTCAGGGGAGTGAACACTATCAATGCCAGAAAAGTGTCTGTGGGACCTTGATTTCATAGCTTTAAAAGGTGGCGAGGGGCAAATGAGAGCACTTATCCCTGATAAGTTGTTTGTGCCACAACAAATGCAACATTGTTGTGTATTTGTTGTTGGGGGAACACAGGTGTCATTTCTGAAAGTAGTACTTTTACTGGTGGGTGTTGTGTTTTCCAAGCCCTTGATGCACAAGGCATGATCCAAACACAGCGGAAACACTTTGTATTCCTAGTGATGTCCTTAGCATTTTCTCTAAAATCAACATGAAAACCCATTTTTTAATCTCTGCAGGTAGAGTATCAATCCTTGTAAGGCTTGTTGTAAAATGTGGGTCTGGAATTGTCACAGGCATGTATTGGACAGTGCACGTGACATCATCACTATAGACAAATAAGAGAAGTCACATACATACACCTGAAAAAAAGAGAGTGGGGGGTATTGGATCTTTTTAGTCTGTGCCACTGGCACACTTATTTCTGCAACAGTTAAATGTGTAGAACTAGTAAAATGGCTAGAGGGATAGATGATCATGTGGAATGATCACATGGTGGTGAGGGAACATATGGCTTCCCCATCTCTAAATGGAGGCCCTGCTTCATTTACCTCTGCTCCACAAATAGGACAGTTCCCATCCCCCCCCCATTCAGATTTTCCAGCAACTTTTCCTCCTGAGAACCCATGTGCACTGAAGACCAAGAAGCCTTGTTGTCGATGAGCTGACTTTTTTGTAAGAATTCCTGCCAGCAGCCTTCCCATTCCAGGCCAGAGTGTGTGCAAATGCTTGTGATTCCACAGCCACATGTGAGCCAGAAGGCAGGTGTGCGCTTGTGTTCCAGGCATCACTGAGGGGGGTCTTGCTTTTGTGACGAGGCCCAAATGAAATCTCTGTGCCTGTATAGCAGCTGCTCACTGGGAGAAGGGAGACCAGTAGCTACCAAACCCAGTAAACACCCTCTTAAAAACCAGACTGGCGGTTTAATCCTCCTCCTTTCTTTCTCTTCTCTGAGGGATATGTAGCTCTGTGCTTAAGAAACCACAAAACCTAAACACTGTTTAAAAATCAGCTTATTCATAGCTGAGTTGGGCGGAATCTCAGCTGACTCGATCCAAATCTTCTTTGATCAATCTATAAGGAAAGCAACCACAGGGGAACTGGGAAGTTGCCACCATCCTGATGAATGGGAGTGACAAGAGGTGGGTCCATGTCTGCTAAAAGATTTGAGCTGAAAGCAAGAGCATTTCCAACCAAAGAAACAAGCTCTAGCTTTATTCCTCCAATACATGGCTAGGGCAATCTTCATATGGTGGTTTAGGTCAGTACAAATGGAAGGGGACACCAGGAAGACTGTTTTTTGAGCTAGGCTGCGGATTGCAGAATTGTGAATACTGTTTAAAGAAGGCACTTGTTCTGGTAATCATGGAGATCTATCTTCTCTTATTGGTCAGAAGCCTGTGACCGTAATAATATAGGAAGGGAAAACCATGTTCTTTGGCCTTCTGTAGAACTAGCCATGTCACCTGGGCAGGAAGACAGGAGAAGGATTTTCTCTTTCTTGTAGACCACACTCTTGTTGCTCTCTTGCTCTTTATTCAGGCCAGTAGTCAGAACCCTTGTTTTGGACTGATGGTAGCAGCTCCCACAGCTTAATTTCATTCCTCAGAACTAAGCAGGGCAAAAGATAGAAGAGGTTGGGCCATGGATCCTACTTTATGTTGATTTTCTTCCTTTATTTTCCTACGTTTCTATGCTGCCCATGCAACAAAGTTTGCTGGATGGCACGCAAACAGTCACTTATTTGAAGGACTGTCAGGATGTGGTCCTATCTCTGGTCCAAGGCTGTTTTAGAGACAAGGAGTCCTAAGGAGAGAGTGAGCAGGGGCATCCAAGTTGCCCATCCGCAGGCAGCACCTGGGTGGCAGACCCAGCAGACACGCCGGCCACTTGGTCAGTCTTCCCCACTATGGTTAGATGCACTGCATTTCTATGGGGAAACCCAGCCAGATGGGCAGGGTATAAATAATAAAATTATTGTTAAAATTATTATTATTTCAATTATAGTTTCTAAGTTGCATTATAAATTAGCGCATGCAAATGTTATGCGAATCCGTGCCCATTTTTGTCCTCTGTTTTGGATATAGATTTTTATCTTACTTGGCAATAGGTACACAGTCCCCCTACGAGGATGCAGGCCCCACTACTACAGGAGATGGCACAAATATCGTTGCTTTGAGTTGTGCCAATCTCATAGCCCTTGGTTTCCTGCTTGGATCAACCCAGATTCCTGTGTGGTAGGGTTGCCAGAGCACAACACGGAGATTGCCTGGGACCTTTATTATCCTTGCCAAATCAAGAGGTGCCACACACAGCCTTGGCTTCTCTTGTTCCTTTCACGCTGTGCTCCACCCCTGCCTGCTGTGTGGCAGTCCTGTTCACGACATACAGCAGATGTCAGGAAAATGGGAGACAAGACAGCGGCTGCTTCTTTTTACCCAGTGCAGTTGCCAAGGCAACCTCTGGGTTGCAGCCTGGCATCTACAGGTATTCTGTGAGTTGAATCAGCATACCCTACACTCAGCACACACATGCATGCACACACAAACACCAGTCTGGCACTTGTCAACTAAAGCAACCACATTATTCTGGCATTATAGGTATCATAGAACTGCCCATAGCATGAGAATAAATGGTACTGGAAATGTGCAGAGCAATCTACTGGGAAGTGTGGCTTGAAGCTTTTGTGTTTTAAAGAGAAAGACAAATCCGGTGTCAGAGAAAGCAGGGGAGACAAAGTGTCCTTTTTCATTGGCAAGTCAGGACAATGACAGCATTCGGGAAACATGCCATGTGAACACACACACACACACACACACACACACAAAAACTCAACTTTGTCTGGTGCAGTAAACACACCCATTATTTCCTTCCACACACCTGTTTGTTGGGGACAACAACAACAAAATCCCCTGCATGTTTAAAACACTCCAAATACGGCAACGCACGTAATGCTATTATACCTAGGATAGCTAAAAGTGCTGCATTCAGATCTCTGAGTAGGGCACTGGCTGCCTCGGGTCCAAGAGTGGATGGATTGGTTCGATCGTCCCTGTTTGCTCGGTCAGTGTCTGGAGGGCAACCGCTGCACCTTGTCATGTCGCCCACGATATGGCAGCGCTGTGCTCCTTGGCTTTCATCCGCAGGGCAGCGATGCTGGAGGACTTGCGGTCGGGCTCGCCGTTCAGCTCGTAACCGTTGATGCCGGGGCTGATGGCTGCGCCGCCGAAGAGGCTCCCCATGTGAGTCTGTCCCACGTGGCTGCCGGGACCAGAGACGCTCAGGAATTCGGAGACCCCTCCGGTTGTGTGGGGATGGGTGTGGGGAGACATGCAGGAAGGCACTGAGTCACAAGGCACGACGCAGGCAGGGACGGGGGAGGCAGCACCGTTGTTGCCAATCCAGGATGGATTCTGGATCTGAGATGGTGGAGAAGGAAGGAAAAGATCAGTTAATGAGCACTGGTTTATCCCTTGGTTCTCAAAGTGGAAAAGATGTGTGGACAGGGAGAGGTCCGAGTATTAAGGTGTTCTGTATTGAATCAAGCCAATTCCTTCTCAAAGTAGTGTAGGCATCTCATCTGCGAAGAGCACATGTCTCTCATTACATTGATTGATAGTGCTGGTGGCCGTTGGTGCTCTTGTTTTCTTCTTGAGGTTTTCACATCCTTGAGTTTATTTATTATTATTATTATTTTCAGATCATAAATTGGCCACCTCATGCCAATTTTCACATCTCATATGCTCTATCCACTGTGCTATTCTGCTTTTGGGAAAAGCCAAGGAATAGAAAACCCTGTGCTTGAAGACACTGTTAATTAATTCATATTGAAATTCTGTCATTCGGTCATGAAAGGCACAGAGCCTTGATCAAAAAAGAGGGGTGGGAACCCTTAGAAAACTCAGCCTTCTGATGAATTGTCTGTCTAGCCCAGGACTTACCTGTCTTCCCCAACAACAGCTCTGCCAGTTTGGGCAGGTGATCCTGGGCTAGGCAGACAGTTGGCCAGTTCTTAAATCGAGGCATTTCTGGGAATTGTTTCTGGGGCATTCTGCAATTAAAGACACTCTGCCTCTGAGCTCCCCCCTTTTGCTTAGTGTGAGAGAGAAAAATTGCAATGACAACAACAAGCACATTATCTAGGATTATCTAGGATGCTGAAACCAAAATGATCCTACCAAAGCAGAGAGCGAAGAATGACTTTTACCAGCAGGAGGCCCCTGGGAGGTGGGGAGGGGAGGTGTATTGGGGGGGAGAATGTGAGATGAAAGAATGCAACAGGAGAGGATCCAGATGGAAAGTAGGAAAATGCCTGTCTCTGAAAGGCCTGCATTCCACAGCCTTCCAGCGCCATTCAGCTCTGGCTCCAAGCCTGACCTTTTACCTCCGGCAGACTACATCTCTGTGGCAGGTATAGTGGGGGAGACGAGGCCGTAACATTCGGAGGTGATGAAAGCAGGGGACGCAAGATAGCCAGAGTAAAAATGCCATCGTTTAAATTTATGGTTCTGCCACATTTTGAATATCATGTACAGGTCTGGTTGACCCCCACCTCGAAGAAGGATCATCATGGAGCTGGGGAAAGTACAGAAAGGGGCAACTGAAAGCCTGGAGACCCTTCCCCACCAGGAAAGGCTGAAGAGCTAAAGCATCTTTTGTTATGAGGTGGGAGGAGATGAGCAAGGGCAAGATGAGCAACCTTGTCTGTGTTTCCAACAAGTGGGAGGCGGAGAGAATTTCCCTTGGACCCCAGGATGTAAAGCGGAGAAGGTTAACTCGTTCTTCTTCTGCCACTTTCCTTCCTGGGCATATGCCTGTTTGCTCTGAAGGAACTCAATGGGGCTTACTCCCCCAAAAATGTGCACAGAATTACAAATGGATGGCAGATTTTACAAGCCACTTCCAAATTTCTCCAGGTTATACAGGCAACAAAGTACATGCTATGTATTTATTTCCTATCTTTGAAATGTGAGGGTAAGTTTCACAACTGTTACAGAGGCAAAGGTTTTTAACACCGTATCAGTTCCTTGAACCTTGAATCACTTGTCTCATCCTACCATATCCCAACTGACTGAAGGCAGGGCCTTAGGGTGGTATTCAACATTGACTCTGGGCAGACCTGATGAAATTAATGGACCTGACTGAGTCATGTTCATTAATTTCATTAATGAGTGAAGCTTAGTTGAATGCCACCCTTAATGTTAAAGAGACAGGTGTGCAGACACTCACCTGGGCATAGTTCTCTGCTCGAGTTAGTAAGGGGAGCTCATAGGCTGTGGAGAAGTGGGTGCGGACCTGCTGCATTTGACCAAACCGCTCTCGCTTCCTCCATTTTGCCCGTCTGTTCTGAAACCAAACCTGAGAAGAAAAGCACAGGTTGAAAAGCACTTCAGGAAAGGAAGGAATGGGACAGGATCTCAGTACATCTTCTGCGACTGGAGGTGAACAATTGCCTCCTCCAGGCCACCCCAAGTTGTAAAATATTGAAAAATAGAATTCTGCTTGGGTTGTCATTGTATACCCATCCCATATTTTAGACCTTCCTAAAGTGGCAACACTGATATCAGTGCTATTACCTTCTATGTAGTAGTTGAACGTTGCTGGCCAAGAAGCAGGCTGAGAGGGTCTTTTAATATGGAACCTAAATCCCACATTTGGGTGCTTATCTCAGCAGAATCACACACAGGTGCTTTCATTTAAGCTATATTTGTATTGTACGTTGCTCACAAATAACTGCTCATGCACCTTTGGTTAATTTGAACACCAACATAATTACAGTGGTACCTCAGTTTATGAACCTAATCCGTTCCGGAAGTCCATTCTTAAACCAAAGCCGTTCTTAAACTGAGGTGCACTTTCCCTAATGAGGCCTCCTGCTGCCAGTGTCCTTCCACCATTCGGATTCCGTTCGTCTCCTGGGGCAAAGTTCGCTAACTGGAACAGCTACTTCTGGTTTTGTGGAATTTGTTCACCGAATAGTTCATTAACAGGCTGTTCATAGACCGAGGTACCACTGTATATTGAACAAAACTAGCTGTTCCTCTCTCTTCTGGTCCATTTTTCTGGTATGAGAGCTTCATTGTCTTTAAGTGACAGGTAATCATCCTACATTGTATCTCTATATCAGGACACAATGACTTTTGAGTTGTCAGAGAAGTTCCTTACCATCTCCTTCCTATTTATTCTGCACATTTCCAAGAGCAGGTCTAGCAGAATGCTGAGCTACAAATTGGGAACGACCCCGGTTCAAATCTGATCTCTGTCACCAATTCACTAAGGCAAGCCATGTTCTCTCAGCCTTAGTCTGCCCATAGACGTGGACCATGCAAGGCCCAAACAGACCTGGCCAGTGCCACTTGCAAGGCTGACCCAAGGCATTGTGCTGCCTTAGATGGATTCCGAGTCCCTCTAACTTTTCTGAGCATACAAACGGAAGATGCTGTGCTATCTGTTTGTTTCTCCATCAGTTCTTTCACCTGCTTTCTTAATCTGCCTACTGTGAGGAGAAACAGCTCTGAAAGTCCACCAACACATACCCTTTTGGGCCCCACTGATATCAGAGCCCCAAAGTCCTGTCAGGTCAGGTTGTTGGAGGTTTCCATTATGCCGGGGGGGGGGGAGGGGGAGTCCAGTACAGAATATCTTTATCCAGTGCAGGAGCTCCATCACTGACATGGGAGAGGAAGAACCAATATATCCCAATGTGCCTGGGACACTCTTCCAGAACTATAGGGTTATTCACTTATCCACTTACCTAGAAGCAAGTCCCATTGAACTCACGCCTAAGCCTGACTTCCAAATACACATCTATAGAATTGTTCTGTTAAGCTCTTTATTCTTATATCACAAACAGAGGGGACATATATTAAATGTGCAATGATTTGGTGAAAGGCAGAATTATAAATTTAATGACAACAACAACACCACACTGGTACCTTGGTTTATGAACTTAATCCGTTCCGGAAGTCTGTACTTAAACCAAAACTGTTCTTAAACTGAGGTGTGCTTTCCCTAATGAGGCCTCCTGTCGCTGGTGCCCTTCCACCGTTCGGATTCTGTTCTTAGACCAAGGTAAAGTTCTCAAACCAAGAGACTATTTCCGGTTTTGCGGAGTTTGTAAACCAAATCGTTCTTAAACTGAACTGTTCTTAAACCGAGGTACCACTGTACTCTAAAAATATTTAGCCCATAGCAGCTGTAACCTGGCACTGATACAGTCTAGAAAAAGCCTGCTATTAACACAACATGTAACTTGGTTGCTTGTGGAGGTGCCAAACAAGGCTAATTTATTTAAAATTATTGAATTTTATATTTACAGTGAGATGCATGGCCAACACAAGGAAATGCATAGATTAATCTAATTCACTATGGGTCCAGTGCTTCACTATCTTCTTCTTTCCCCCAATGGGAGTTTTGAAGCTTTGTTCATACTTTTGAAGCTCAAACAAAATCTTAATATTAATCTTGTAAAACAGCACCAAACAGCAGGGTTCTACAACATATGCAAGACAAAATGAAAACAACTAGAATTGAGGAGAGGTGGGGGGAGGGAGAGAGATGGGAACTGTTTTACAAGGTAAAGTTTTAAAAAAGATGTACCCAAAGTATAAATGGTGCATTTAACTAAGCAAGATTTGGTCACAACTCACAGGGGAACAACTATGAGCCCAGGGATATCAAAGTGCTATGGGCATGATGTGAGACAACCAACTAAGGCTGTGTAAACCTTCCTGTTGACTCAGCATCCAGTGCGCTCCCATTGTGGGTTTGGGCAGAGGCGGTTTTAGAGTAGTACAGCTAGCGCCACAACAAAGTTGCAGAATGGAGAGCGGGAGGTGAGAAGGCACCAAATTTTAGCATCGCACAGAGCACCACTGAAATTTGAGAGCCCAAAGGCCACCACTGGTTTAAGAAGCGGTGCACATATGATATTGGCCATAATCTGGATATATTCTGTATCTATCCTGTCATTACTTAGGAAACACTGCATTTTGATGTGCTTTCTGCTCAAACCAGTTTCAATCCAAATTGAGAAAAACAGTGACCTATCTGCATTTTAAGTCAGTAATATTCACATAATCCCTGTCACTAAAAAGTGATTAAATGGTGTCTGATCTGTGGATGAACTCCAGAAACCTAGTTATCTATTCAGTCCTCAATTATTATTTTTTCTTGGAAGATCTTAAAGTTCAATATTCTATTCTAAGAAGACAGTGATGCTGCCATAATATTAATCAGCAGTACACTGTCACAAAAAGACAAAACTATCAATAATTAAAGCAGAATCACAATCAGTTGCCATCGTTTTTGCCTGTTTATGAAAACTGACTATGCCACGTGGTTAATTTTTAAACTTTTTGCTATGTTTTAAATGGCTCATGTATCCACCATGTAATATGCAGTTCTGCTCTTTTGCAAGGGATGATGCAGTTATTAACCAAATCTTTAAAATAAATTTCTTCCTTTCTTAAAATATAATAATCAGGAACTAGAATATTGTGCTTTCCAAAGGAACATTTCTACAAACTGGTTTACATTAACTGTATTTGGCTGACCTGTGTCCCTCATCTATTCCCTTCAATAAAACTGAAGGAGGATTGAACAGCATAGCAAAGAAGTAAAATTATCTAAAGGGGGCTCACAACTGAATTGATTCTACCTACAGCTGCTTGCTGGGGTGTCATCTGCTTGCATTTATACAAATGCATTCATGTTTTGCCACAGGTTAAATGTGTTTAATTGAATTTTTATCGTCATTTTGTGTATATGTGTAGTCACTCACTAAGCCTCTCAAGAAGGAGGAGAGCAAAAGTGGATGGCAATATTCTTCCCTCTCTGTCTACGTCTCTTCTGTTCTCACCCCTCTCCTTAAAGTCTGACTTCCCTTGTAAACTGCAGGAGTCAGTCTTGCCAGCATCTCACTTTGATCTCCAATAGGAGATTTCTCTCTGTCTGCTTAGGCCTGGCAAGGAGATTCTCAGTGACCTGGAGGTTTCCTCCCCATGTGGCTCCAGGATGGTTTGTATCTCATCCAAGCAGCAGCAGCAGCAGAAGCAAAGCAATCACTCATTTATGTGAAATGACTGAAACCGTGTCTGCATGGGCGTCTGCCAGCTGCAGCCTTTGGAGTTATTTTTGCTGACCTGCAATCTGCAAAAAAAAAAAAGACAATCCCCAGCGGTGCAGTTAGGTAATTTTAGACTCTGGCCTTAACGGTCTTACAGGGTGAACCCTTTTTTAGATGGTTATGTGTATTACTTCGCTGACTTCAAGATGTAGGAAGGCAACCCTGTTGCTTTTGAGGGGCCTTGCAGCACATTCCCTGGGGTTCTGACCCAAAGTCCTGACTTACTGGTACCACTGAGGCAATCCCTACAGGGAACCGCAGAGAGGCTGCAGAACCATAGTGTGTGCATGTTAGGAGAGGGGACTAGAGACAGACAGGGCGACATCATTGTTGACATACCACTTGCACTCAGGTATTGAGAATACAGCATTGCAACCGGGTATATTCATCACCCTCGCAGTCTTGTTTTGCCTTCCCCACATGCTGATATGACCCCTCCCATAAGCAGCCCAGCTGGCAGCCAGTCACAGGCTTGGTCAGCCGACGTATCTTTGATCTGCAGATGCCGAGTCCACAGGGTGACCCTGCTGTGCGAAGAGGAGTGGGTAGCAGGTAGAGAGGGTGCCATAAGCTGCTAGCAGAACATATGTTCCGCACATGTGTCCATCCCCAGACACGGCAAACGCATTTCTTTCTGTCATGGTGAAGCGTTCGCTATGCTGCTTGTGAATATAGATGATGTGCACCGTGCAACTGTTCTGGAGCGCCTAGGGGTGCCCCGGGGCAAGGAGAAACCTTGACAGATGATTTCTAAGGGGAGGGTTGTGCTGGCAACGTGTGTCGGAGCCCAGAAATCAAAGCCGTTTTCATACGGGCAGGTTAAAGCCTTCAGAGGAATGAAGCTGACCCTACGCTGTTGAATTAGTTGAGTTGAGAGGGAACCAAGATACTGTTTTACATTTCTGAAGGGGCAGGCATTTCAGGAGCCGGCATTTTGACTAACAAACTCCTGAGAAAGTAGAAGAGGGGTGCATTCAGGGCCCTGCTCAGCAAAATGAACAGGAGGGACCCTAAGCGGGGCTGTGGGCTCAACGCATTTTGAAGTCGGTGAATTGTGGAACTTCAAGAGGGCTCCCCTTGAAAGACCAGAGTCTCAAATACCTGAGCCATCCAGTTCTGCCTCCCTGCCAGGAACAACCTCCCTCCAACTTGCTGCTACTGTTGGGAGCAGTTGGTCATCAAGGATTTGAAAGCATATGCCCCACACTTGTCTTAAAGTGTGCTTTTATGTAAAATGGGTGTGTCTGCAGGGAGGAGGAGAAACAGCCAACACATTAGGGCCAAATTATTCAGGTTTATGAACTACAGTAAAATTTGATAATATGTTTGTTTTTTGCTGCATTTTGGAAATAGGGGCTTGTTTATTTGTAACTTGGTTTTTGTTTCTTTTAAGTCTACACATCTCAGAAAACGTGCAATAAAGGAACCCAGTCTTCCCAGTAGCCTCTAATTCCTTGGTGTGGTGAATCCAGTATGCCCCTTTGGCATGGGCTGTGCTATGTCAAGTGGAAGCAAACTGGGTGTGATCCTCAGAGGACTCAAGGTCGTGACATGTGGCCGATGGCATCATTAAGCGTTTGCCAATGCCCTGAGGCCATCAGATTAGAGGCCTGACCTACGATTAAATTTACAGATCAGACTGGGTAGAGCACACCCATCCTTTGTGCTAAAGTCAGCAAAGGCTGGTTCATGGTGGCAAATGGAGTGCTGCTCCACCAGCCTCAATCTGCCCTCAGTCAACCCCAAGCTACCTGCCTTCTTACAGACAACCTGTCAACTGGCCCCATCTACTGGTTGGTCTCCCTGCCACCCACCCTTCTAGCCACAGTGGCCACCAGCCACCATTACCAATGGCAGCTGGCTTGCCACCAGTGGGACTAGAGGTGAATTTCAGGACCAGCAGAAGAGCATCACTTGTGCCCTTTTGGGCTTCAACCTGTACATTGGTTTCCTGATGCTCCAACAGTGAAACTCTGTGCTCCTCTCCCTCAAATCCCTTCTCTTTTTGCTTATTCGTGCTTCATCCTTTATTGCTAGGGCATGCCATTTTATCATGCACCAAACTGGGTTATTTTTAAATAGCAGGGGATAACAGAACAAGAAATAATAATAAATAATAATAATAATAATAATAGATTTCTGCTTCTAAAGGTTTTAAAAACTAAGCAGTAGCTGATATGAAATCATGAAAATTGTCCACAGTTGAGCAATTGTACCAAACTAAAAACACCCACAACATCTGGGTGGATTTTTTTTTTAAAAAAATCCTAACTGGAACCATTTGAGACGAGTGTGGTGGGATCCCTACTACCTCTTGGCTCCAGAAAAAGCTTTAAAACATGATATAATGAAATGCAAATGTTCGCAAATTGTGTACAAATGCTCAGATTAAAAGATTACAACACTTACTACTGAGAGAGATATCCTAATCACTATGATTTCTAGGGTGATATTTTTAGACAACCTAAGCTATTCCTCTCTTCTATTATAATCCTTAAAAAACAACAACCCAAAAACACCAGTCTTCAGGTCTTTATTTTCCAGAATACATGAGACTGACTACTGTGTGGTTGAGAGATGGAGTGCAAAAAGACCCCTGAAGGATTCTAATGCAAAAGGCTGAAAGTTGTGTTGCCTCTGAACCATTTTGATAACCAAAATGTTTGATGTCTTAGTATGTTTCAATATATGCTGTGAGCCACCCAGAGTGGCTCGGGAAACCCAGCCAGATGGGCAGGGTATAAATATTATTTTGGTGTTGGTGTTTAATACAAATATATGAAGTCCAATTTCTTCCACCAGAAAGCAATGGATCTTCAAGCATGCAGTGTTGGTAGCACTCACTTCTATAGCCAAAGGCCCTTTCAGTTTACACCTCTTCTATCTTTGCTTCACAGGAAACAGACTGGAAAGCTCTGTGCTGTTGCTCAGTCACATATGCTCAGTCAGTCATGATATTTATCCCCTGCTGCATTCAAGGCTCAGTGTTTGCCACGCCTGCATACCATCCAACGCTTTCAAGCCAAAATCTGGGAAGCCATTTTCCTGGACGCCATTCTCTCCGTTTTTAATCGTGAGAGCATGGTGGCCATTTTGGTTGTGATCTCACGTGATTTTGTGCTGCAAGTGCTTTTTTTGGGCACAGTGCCCAAAAACATGTGTTTTGAGGCACAGCACAAGATCAGGCCCCCCCAAAAAGTGTTTTTTCTGAGGGAAATCTCACTGCAAAATCGTGGGAGATCACAGCAACTAAAATGGCCACCGTTCTCTTGCCAGGTATGCACTTGGGGGTTGTTTGGGATGGGCCTTTTGTGCTGAATCCTGAATCGCCTTCTCTTCCTCTCATTTTCAAAACATTCTTAAATTGTTATTCTTCTTACAGGCATATTACTGGGCATATTACAACTCCCCTCAGACTTAACCAGCACGGCCAACGATCAGGGAGTGATAGCAAGTTCTGGAGGGCAAATGCTAAAGAAATTCAAATTCTGCATCAAGAAACTATGGCCAGGATTCTGTGCACTTTCTGCACCAATGTAGAATTGGGGCGTAGACACAGCTTTGCCCATCAAGAATTGGTAATATTTGACCAATAAACAAACCTATGCAACAGTAGTACAAGCTAGTGGATATATACTGATCTATTCCTGTACTAGAAAAAAATAGTTTTGTCAATATGATGAAAATGAAATAAAACGAATGTACATATCATCTCCTAGTATTCTTTACTAGTCAGCTAGTCATATACTTAAATAAAAGGTTGCAGTGTTTGGGACTTTTAAGCTTAGAGAAAAGGCTTAGGTGACAGAATTGAAGGTTTATAAAGTTATAAACTTTTTCAAAATACTAGAACTCATGGACATCCAATGTAGCTGAATTTTGGAAGGGTCAGGACAGATAAAGGAAAGTACTTATTCACACAGTACATAGTTAAACCATGGAACTTGTTCCATGGGAGAAAGTGATGGCCGTCAACTTGGTTGGCTTTATTTATTTATTTTATTTATTTATTTGGTTTTTTAAATTACAGTTTTACAATCACATATCCAACATGCAACATAAAGACAAGATTCCATAGAATCTTCTGGACTTTCCTTCTCCCCTTGGTAGGCTTTAAAGGAGGATTAGAAAAATTCATGAAAGAGAGAGAGAGAGAGGGAGAGAGAGGGTGGCTATTAGCCATGACGTCTATGTTCTGCCTCCGCAGTTGGAGCCTCTGTTCACCAGTCTCAGCCCCCCACCTAATTTCATCCGCCTCTTCCCCTTACCATGTTTCTCTACCTGCCATTCCATGACTGAGCCCAGCAACACTTCAGGACTTATGACAAATTGGACAGGCCCTGGCTGTTTCTGCTAACGTTTTCGGGACACCACATTTTGACACTTCTCATTAATTAATCCATAATCAATATGGCTTGTTTTGAATCTAGAATTGTGGGTTATTATCTGTGGTTCATCCATAACACAGCGAGCTCAGAACTCCCAGGGACCCAAATCCAAGTCCTGTCTCCTATGCTTGGGCAAAGTAAATAAGGAAACCATCATGCTCAGAACATAAAGTTCATTCACACTATTGCCTCAAATTGTGGTAACCATGGTTTGTAGTTGGACAATAGCCATGCAGCTGCCCATCAGCACACTTGAACGCTGTGCAGATCAGGGTGGGGTGCTTGATAATGAGTGCCAAAAAATGCAACAGTTGTAATCAAATATTAAATGTTATGCACACCAAGACCTGCATGGATACAACTCTGCATGGTCTGAATGAAAATCACAGCATGAAAAAGTCATATCAAGGCACAGATGGCTGAAAAGATTTTGGGGCCTGAGACACAAAATACAAATGATAGCGAAAATATAATACTACTACAACAAGACGAAAACCCACACAGTGGCATTTTGATGCCCTTTAATGGTACACCAAAACATGCCATGTAAGATGTGCTACCTACATACTGGCCAACAGTAGGATTGGCTCTGTCTGAATGGGCTCCACAAATGGGACTTGCAAAAAAGGTTGCCAGATGGAGTGAGCTCCTGTTCAGTGTGGCAGTAGCTAGCCAGGATCTTTTCCAGACTACTCCATTCCACCCCCTAGGTTTTACAGCCCTCCCTGACCCAAGTCATTCTGTGGTCACTGGCTCACTGAGCATGGTCATTGCGCTCTTTTGGGGTGTCCCACCTCTAGTTTTTCTACAGGTTTTCATTTAAGACTTGGGGTTCCCCCAAACTTCCTGATGCCTCCCTCTTTTGCACAGACAGTGCCATTTGGGCTGCATAAGGATCCACACTTGTAGAATGTGTTTGGTATGCCTAGGATATAAATTGGTTGCACTGATTTTAGAAGGGGATTCAATCTGGACTCTTGCTGTGCTGTACAGCTGTAGCTCTGGACTCCTTTCAGACTCCCATTCACAGCATATCCCTAGCATCCACCACTGGTTCTCATAGCTACCCACCCACGTGCCTTGCTTCAGTTGTCTGTCTCTTTCTCATGATCCCTGTCTCTTGCTCATCCTCTCCACAACCTCTCTCTCACACACAACCTCCTCCCCCTCTTCCTTGTCTGTTTCACTCCCCGCTCAAGCCTTCCTTATTTCTTATGAAGGGCCATGAGCGCTTCTCTCGGCGGCTTGCTTGAATGTAGGAACAGAGCCAGAATTCATCTTTAAGCGCTGAAACTGGACACCATTTTATCAGTGGCCTGGAATGGGAAATTGGAGCCTGGGATGAGAGAGCTGAATAACTTGAGCTTGTTTTCATTTCATGTTTAATTTCCTGCAGGCTTAGCTCAGCCTTTCCGCTTCTTCCACCAGCCTCCCAGGGTTTTATGGGAGAAAAGGGATCAAGATATATTACTTCTCGCTTTGCTTTTTGTTGTGTTTTGTTTTTTCTTCACCCAGGCGGTGATTTTGCTACAGCAAAGTTTTGACATTTCCACCTTGCTTTCAAGACCCCGCCACATCACAGGGTCACCCATGGAAAAGATTTTCATTAACAAGCGAACACTCAGGGGACGGACAGACGTTTCTTGGCACTCAGCAAGGCGGAAGGAGGCAAGTTTGTAAGCTAGGCAACAGGCTGCCAGAAAGAAACCACCAACTGGGGGAAAGCAATTGGGAGCAACGCTGGGTGGATGTTCCTGTGCTATGTGGAAGCAGGGGTGCTGGATCCCTTTTCTGTCCTTGGGGACACATTAAGCTCCTTAAACTGAATCAGACCTACACTGACTGGCAGCAGCTCTCCAAGGTCTCCAACAAAGCTCTGTGGCAATGCCATTTAACTCAAGATGCTGGTGATCACATAGGGGGCTTCTGAATGCAATGCATAAACTCTTTCACTGAGCTTTGCCCCTTCCCTAAAGAAGTATTGTGAATTGACTGCTTCCCTTTTTGACTGGCACTCAAGTCAACTTAAACATTCAGTATACAGCAGGCCCATTCCACATAACACAGGGCAGCAAATCTGAGCTTGCTCCTAATTGTACACTTAGCAGGGAGCCACAGTCAATCCTTGCTTGCCTGATGAGCGTACCTGTGTAATACATAAGTTTGCAAAGGCCTGTCCCCTCCCAGCTCCTGCTCAGCATGCTGCTCAGGTGAGGTGGGCAGGTGGGACAGGGAGCACCTCCAGTCAGGGCAGCAGCTGCAGAGGTGCATCCCTAAAAATTTTTTGAGCCTGAGGCAATAGCTCCCACATACACACACTATGCTTCTGGCTGCAGCCACCACACCATTCTATCTGAGTCCCCTAATCTAGCCTGCTCTTTGCTCCCCCAGCTAGTCGGTTGCCCTTGGGTATGGTAAAGGATGCTCTTCCATCACCTGTGTCAAAGTAAGATTCATCTTCCAGTCTGGTTGGATTCTGTATGTGGAATGCGGGGGAATAAATCTTGGACTTTGCCTCAGGCAGCCAAAAAAATGCCTTGAGCCAGCCCTGGAGCTCAGTATCATTTCTGCTGACTGGTAGTGGCTTTCTAGGCTTTCAGACAGGGCACCTTCCCATCTCTACCGAGAGATGCCAGGGATTGAACCTGGAACCTTCTGAATAAGCAGGTGAGAAGGAACAATTGGGAGTCCGCTTTAAAGTCCTGATTGTTCCTTTGTGGCCATGTCTCTACCTGTCCCACAACTGATGTCACATATTACCTCAGATGTGGTTTAGAAAAAGTGGCTTCAGGACCCCTGTCAGGCCTAATTAGGCTCACGGTCCAGAGATGTCTCACCTCAGCTCTACGTGTTCCTGGACTACAATTCCCACCCTCCCTGAGCACTGGACCCAGCTGGCTAATGGGAGCTGAAGTTCAATAACATCTGGAGGGCCACATTTCCCCTTCCTGCTTCACTGCTTTGAGAGGAGCTTCTTTTGTAGAAAGTGTTTGTGCGTACAGAGCAAGAGGTGCAAGGCCTACATGTAAACGTTACGGGGCAAATTTTTCTTTATTGCCTTTAGACACCAGCTGCGGAGATTAAAATCCAAAGCAGTCGGAAAAGTGGCCTCTTTCAGCACCTGGAAAGGAGCCAAGCTGCAAGGAGGTGGGGGAAAGCCTCATAACTGAAAGCTCTGCAGGGTTTACTGCAGACAGAACCCACAAAGTTATAATTGCTCTCTGGGTGAGCTCTTCTCCAGGTGCCTGGCTTCTGCTCAGGTATCTTACTACTCAAGTGTGAACTCGGGAGAGATTTAGGACTGACTAGAAAACCAGGCACTCTTGAATGGTGTTGAATCCTTTCTCCACCCCTATCACTCTGGCCTTGTCCCTCACTTTTGTGCTGGCCTCATTTTCATTAGGAACGATAGAGGGTCAACACTATCTTTCTGATCTCACTGGGCCTATAGGCACCTTTCGACGCTCTGAACAGTCTGATTTTACTAGACTGCTTGGAGGTGGGTGGGAGATGGTGGTGAAGTCACTTTGGTCATTTCTTAATTGGCCAATCCCAAGTAGGGTTGTTGAAGCACACAAAATTCAGTCTTAGGTTAAGTTCTTAACCCGAGGTACCACTGTAGTCTATTTGAAACCATCCAGAGGTTTGGTATAATGAGTAGAGCCATGACCTCACTTTTATTTATTTCTCTTTTTCCACCAACACCGGAACTGCAATCTGTCAGATAACAGGCTAAGTAGACAGTGTTAAGGAGAGTAAAACTAAATTCAGTCAAGACGGCTAGAAGTTGCTACATAGTTCACTAGTCACATGAGAACAGTTAGGACATTGTCATTGAGGGATGAATGTGTCTTAAATGGATTTATAAAGGGAATTTGGTGGTTCTGACTCAACAGAGGTTTGCCAGCATATGACCACCTCTTGTATCAAGCGTTGTTTTTGTTCAAGTTTGGGCATTTTGGGGTCTCTTCAAAAAAGCCTGCAATATTATATGCAATATTATATGGAAATATATATATGCAAACCAATATGTATACTGTACATAAGATGTAGAGATTCAAGACCCATGCAGTACAATATTTATACAGCATACATTTATCAGAATTAATGCATATGTATTTTTATACAGTCACATGCATAGTTGTATGTATCTGTTTATACGCTGGTTGCTTTAGCAAACCTGGCATGCACAGTACCTTGCTTCTTAAACTTAATCCGTTTCTGGAGTCCGTTCGACTCCTGAAACTGTTCGAAAACCAAGGCGTGGCTTCTGATTGGCTGCAGGAGCTTCTTGCACTCAAGCGGAAGCTGAGTCGGATGTACAGCTTCCGAAAAACATTCGCAAACCGGAACACTTACTTCCAGGTTTGCGGCGTTCAGGAGCCAAGCCGTTCGAGTACCAAGGTACCACTGTATTATGCAAGAATTTTTCATATTCTTAGCAGAACAAAACAAGAATTAAAACAAAATCTGTGCATATAAGCTCAACGTCAAGATTTTCAGAAAATTCCATCATAAAACATTATAAGCAGCAGTAAATGTAAAAGAAAAAGGGGGGGTGGGACTTGAGGGCATTCTGGTTTTCCTGAACTCCTCCCCGTAGTTTCAGTTCTTACCTGAACTCGGGCTTCAGTGAGATCTGTCCTCATGGCTAACTGCTCCCTGGCATAGACATCTGGGTAGTGGGTCTTCTGAAAGACCTTTTCCAGCTCTTCCAGCTGATAGCTGGTGAAGGTGGTGCGGTTCCGCCTCTTCTTGCCCTTGTTGCTCTCTGAGTCAGTCTTGTCCATTGGGCTGGGGAGGTTGCTACTCGCCCTCTCCTGGGATGCCTTCACTCCGGTCTCTTTCACGCTGAGGTAAGTGCCATCCATCCCGGCAGGATCTGAGCCTGGCTGCAGCTCGGCCTCTCCCAGAGAACTCTCTTTAGCTGTGTATGTGGTGGTGGTGGGGGAACAGGAGAAGGGAAGGAGATAAAGGAAACATAAAGCTGTGGATAAAACGAATGAGGCTGAGCTGGATTTACACCAGTGTGGAAAGGAAGAAGGTACACACAGGGAAGGGTTGAGATGGGCAGATAAGGAAGGAAGGAGAAACAGGCGAGTCAGGAGGAAGAACTTTTAAGAAGCGAGGAAGGCCGACCATTTGGCTTAGGCCATATATGCAAGGTGAAGGAAGCAGCTGGAGACCTATAAAATAAATAAAAGGATTCTGTTTTAATGACTTAAGGAAGATTAGCTCTAGATTCCACGCTGTCAGGGATTTGAATTTGTCTTGCTAGTTCGGCTGTGGTTTCCTGTGCTGAAGCAGATTACCGAAGGGCGTGTAACTGACGATAAGGAGGATATCATACATATATATTATATATGCTTACACAGGGTGTTCCGTTTAATAGAGAACATGCATTCTACTTTTTATTCTGCAAATGCAATCACACTGCACAGTGCTATCTTGTTCACACAGCCTAAGTGTGAGGAAGTAGGGGGGAATCCAAAATGCTCAAATATAAAGGAAATAAATCTTTCACACAGATGTTGCGGTGCAGGTCAAATTAACCCACACATGAAAGAATGCAGTGGTGTAACTTGCAATCCTGTGTGCGTCTACTCAGAAGTAAGTCACACTGAGTTCAGTGGGGTATTCTCACAGTTAAGTGGGTATATGATTTCAGCCCTACAAGTCTAGCAATTCTATTCTTTCTCTTTCAGCCAATTTAGCACTTCCTCTGCCCGTATTTGGTTGTGTCCCTTCTTCAACGAAGCAGACATTATATGATTACATATCCTACTCATGGCAACCTGCTGCAGCAAAACCTTTCCCCAGCACCTAATAACAATGTTCCTCTTCAGGGCTCTAGTCAGCTTGGAACAGGATAGTGTTATTCAAACAGGGTTTGAATAAACACTTACAATTGAGAAAAAAAAATGTAAAAAGTTAATAATTTGGTTCAGAAGGAGGAATATAAGATGATTACAATGGAGACTATCAAGTAAGGTTATATAACAGTGCAGAACTAACAAATGTACTAAAGAAACCAGATGGGGAAGTTGGGGGAAGCCGTAGGATGGGGGGAGGGGGGAATACTGGGAATGTATTGTTTGTGTTTTTTAAATATGTGAATATATTATGATGATGAAATATAAAGCTGTAAAACCAATAAAAATATTAATAATAATTTTTTTTTTAAAAAGAGGATAGTGGCTACACCATAAAATATACATGAGGGAAGGTATCACATAATGTGCAAAATGCACATTTTTGTGGTAGATAAGCTTTGTCTCACATGCCGCATTTCTGAAAGAGGAATAATGGTATATTTTAAGTTAATGCCACTATTGTAAATGTATTTTACCTAAAGTTGCTCCTATTGATTTTTATGGAGTTAAACTTTCAAGTAAACAGGATTACGGCCAGGGCTTTTCTTCAGCCAGAACTCATTGGAACTCAGTTCCAGCACTTCTCAAGTGGGTCCCATTGCTATTATAAGAGAACAAGGGAGGCATTCATGGTGAGTTCTGGTACCTCTTTTTCTAGAAAAATACCACTGACTATGGCCTTAATTTAACTTCGAGTTCATGACTCAGTTATTTTTACACATCACTTGGGAAGACAGGCGAACTAATATCAGTGTACTGGAAGAAGCAAAGATCACCAGTGCTGAAGCAATGATTCTTCAACATCATCTTCGTTGGACTGGTCATGTTGTGTGGATGTCTGATGATCGTCTTCCAAAGCACCTACTCTATTCTGAACTTAAAAATGGAAAGCATAATGCTGGTGGTCAACAAAAGATGTTTAAAGACTGTCTCAAGGCAAATCTAAAAAAAAATGTAGTATAAACACTGACAACTGGGAAACACTGGCCTGCGAGCGCTCCAGTTGGAGAACAGCCTTTACCAAAGGTGTCATGGACTTTGAAGACATTCAAACTCAGGACGCAAGGGAGAAATGTGCTATGACGATGGCATGCTTGGCAAATCCACATCGTGATCAACTCCCACCCGGAAACCAATGTCCCCACTGTGGAAGGACGTGTGGATCCAGAACTGGTCACCAGAGTCACTTATGGACTCATTGTTAAAACTGTGTTTATGGAGGAGAATCTTACTCGGCTATGAGTGATCGCCAAAGAAGAAAAAAGAAGATCATTTCCATAAGATAACTTCCTTTCCTTCAAGCAATCACTGGGGTCTAGCAATGGGGAGAAAGATTACAATGGGTGGGGGCAAGTGATGTGTAGGATGGAGTGCTTGCTCCCTCCTCTCTCTTGGGTGTCAGCCACAGAGAGGAGCCTTGAGGCATTATTAGGCCTTGTGGTAGGGTAGAAGTTTCAAGAATGGAGATGGGGAAAGGATACCTTTCTTCTACACTGTTCTGAAACATGCTCCCACTACTATTAGTACTATGGAAAGTCTGATTCAACAGAATATTTAATAAGAATACCAGGAATTAAATGACTGCATATGTTTCGTTTCATAAGGGGAACAAAAGATGTTAAGAATATAGTGAACATGGGAATATAAAGATGTATAAAACAAACAAAATATTGTGCTTTAATTTGTTTGAAGCTGCCCAGAGTGGCTGGGGTAACCCACTCAGATGGGTGATAGATGATAGATAGATAAATGATAGATAGATAGATGATAGATAGTTGATAGATAGATAGATAGATAGATGATAGATAGATATTTTATGCTGTAACTAAGAAGTTAAAAGAATTGTGGAACTTGTTTTCTCAAAAACAACAAAACAACACAAATACAAATACAAAAAAGCCAAGCAAAAGCAGACTTAGGGTTTATCCCTACTTACCCTTTGCCCTATTCTTTCCAGGCAGAGGTCTGAACAAGCATTGGTGGTGGTGGTGGTTGTTTTCTCTGAGCTTTCCCCATGAAAACCTGCTCTTTAAAGCTGAATCGGAGCAAACGTCAATTCAGGTTTTCCAGGCATTGATGTTTGTTCTGATTGAACTTTAGACAGCAGGGTTTCATGAAGAACCTCCAGAGCAACAACAAAAAAGTGGGGGCTTTAAACTGTGGACTGTGTCTGGAAAGAGCACGGGAAAGTGTGGCCAGATCCTTAGAAACAGAGTAAGAGCACATTATGATGCAACCATAGTTGAGCATTTATGGAGAGTGGTGCTGAGAACAATATGCACAACTTTCTTACTGAAGTCTATGAGGTTGAGGGCTCATCTACACTGAACATGTCCCGCAGCCAGAAAGCATGGGTCTGAGCAGTTTTCTGCTTGTTCTGTGCTTTCTAGGTATGAGTCTGAATGGTTTTCCGTTTGCCCCACTTTCCCCCCTGGGAAAACTCGCTCTTTACTGCTGAATTGGAACAAATTTCAGTCCATGGAAAATCCTACGAGCATTTGTTCCAATTCAGTGGTAAGGAGCAGGTTTCCCCGGGGGAAAGCGGTGGGACAAGAGGAAGTGTGAACAAGCCCAGCATCTTTAACTTTGTAAAATATTTACTGCATAACGGATTTCCTTTTGTAGACTTACAAAAATGCTTTATGAACATGTAAGAAAGCTTTCTGAATGATAAGTTAATGTTTCCAGAAAAAAATGCAAAGCACCTAAAAGCAAACTTTAAAATAGTTGCAGCTATTAGTTTTTCCTAGAATTAAAGTAATGTGTGTGTGTGTGTGTATACCCTTTCTTTTTTTTCTTTTTTTTAGCAAACTACAGGTTTAGGACAGAGAGAAAATAAATACTTTAGGGTGTATTTGTTAACTCTTCCTTGAGGGTCCCTCTTTCTAGACTTTTTCCTGACCTTTAGGTGTTCCTTCCTGTTAGACAATAAATGGAAAATTTATTAACTGGTTGCTATATAAGAACTATATAAGAACTAACTAAGCAATTGTAAACTGATTGTGGAAAGCAATTGAGGATTTTTTTTAGCTGGTTGCTGCTTTTTCTGCCCAGAACCCCTAAAAAGGCCTCATGTTGAGCTGCACACATTGGGAAAATCAGAAATTAGACCTGAGATGGAGGTCTGAATTGCAAATAGGTGAGTAGAGAATGCACCTAAAACTGAAAAACAGAGCAAAGGAAAGTCTGTGGGGTGGAGTCCAACTCTAGCCCATAATACAAAGTTCTAAAATTTAACTCTTCAAACATCCTATAGGCTTTTTCTTTTAAGATCACTTAAGTAATTATTGGGTGATTGTGCTGATGAAAAATCCACCCTCAGTTAGGGAAAGTCTTTAGCGAGAAAACTTTTGGGGGCACTTCCAACTGAGGCTTTCATTGTCCAACTGCACTGCCTTATTCCCTAAAGCTTTCAGAGGGTCCTATTCTTAAATTGCTCTTTTTAAAAAAGCTATAGTTCTTTAAATGGAAGCTGTCGTTGTCACGTTACATATTAAAATGACAATTCCCCTGCCCGCCCCCCACAAATCCTGGGGCAAGGGAAGCACAACTTTAAAAGGGTGGCACATCTACATTATGGTTGAATTACTGCCTTCTCCTTTGCCTTACAACTTAGCATTGTTTTCTCTTGGTTTAATTTTGCTGGTTGCATGAATTTTTGGTCCCTATTTCTTGCCAATTTTATTGTTGTTGCACTTTATGGTTTTTGGTTCAGCTTGTTTTTATTGTTCTGATTGTTAGCTGCTGTGAGCGGTTTCAACAATGATGGAGGGGCGTGAGTGTTTAAAATGAATGAACGGGGGAAAACAGCACATGACGTCAATCACGTGTCTTCCCACCCCACTGCCCACATTTTCTTATTTTGTCTAAGAAACTGCGCAAACTGCCATCTCTAGCCAGTGGCCGTTGGGATGGAGGGGGAGGAAGAGGTCTTTCATTTCTGCTGTTTTCCCAAAAGAACATAAGAGCCCTGTTAGATCACACCAAAGGGCATTTAG